TTAATCGTGCGAGCATGGTCGAACGACTGACCCGGCGAAACTTGCCAACCGATTAAATCGTTCGACCCATTAACGGCGCGCGACCGATACCATGCTATCATTTACGCTGCTTCCACCTGCTTCTTTGCTCGCCGCGTAACACAGAAGCAGCCATACGCAATTTGATATGTTCATCTTGCTTCTCCTTCACTTTTACACGGGGAACGTGTGTTACGTTCAGCTTTTGGTTTTGGAACAATCCACGTCTCCTTGCCTTTTTGTGTACGCACTTCTTCGAAAAGTAGCCGCAGAGACAAACGATCAACTTCTTTCCCCGCGGCAGTCAATAACTTTAAAACATCCGTCACAATCTTTTTATCCTCCCATTTCAAAATCACCATATATCGTTATTATCTTATTCTTAGTCCTATTTACCTTAGTCTTAGTTTGTCTTCAAATCAAATTCGATTTTCGACTTTCAAATTTCAAACTCGGCGATGTCTCCAGCCCTCGGATAAAATTTCATCGGAATATTTTTGCACGACGTTTTCTCCGACGCGTCTATGCTCCAAGGAGCTTCCAAGAACGATACACTACGTGGGTATGTCTTTCGTCGGCTAATTTGCCAGCGAATTATGTGATTTCCGCCAGAAAAAGGGACGACGGCGAGGTGTTGCGCGAGCGAGTTGGTTTTCGTGTGCGGATCACACGGTACCGAGAGTTCGTTAGCGTCCGGGCTGTTGAATATCATGGCTTTTTAGCCTGCAGGTGTCATTAGGGCGAGGACGGATGGACGGACGCTGATTGGTCTCGACCGATCGCCTTCGGGGACACTGGCTCATCAGCTGTCCCATTCGCGCCGACTCGTGTTCCTGTTTTACGTCTATACCTAGTTTCCTGTCTATGCGATCCATCATCCTCTTCTTCTACCGATTCCACAATTTACACACGTACACGCGAGTCGTTAGCATTCGGTCAATCTTGCTTCCTTAAATTCAGACAAATGGAGATTCTCATCGCCCGTTCGACGAGTACTGTGAAAACGATTCATTAAGATCCAATTTCCCTGTGCATTGAGATCACAGGAGTTTCTGCTGATTCTTGTTTTACAGAGTCTTACAGATTCCGCGCTCGAACCTCGTTCGGAGCACGAAGCATTTGTTAGCGTCCAGTTAGTCTCGTCCACGTCAATCACGAGGGCGTAGATCGAAAGAGGGGGGCGCCGCCACCGAATCGTAGTTCGCGAGTTCTCGTTAGCGTTGCTAGTTTCGCCCCGAAAAAAAGTCCACCTCCCGTGTAAATGAAACTCGTTGGCGAGAGGGAAGATCAAAGACCCCGGCAGGTAGAGAGAGGGTTCCCTCCACCGGGCACAAGAGCTGTCGGTCTACGAGGAATCTAAAAAACTGCCGGAAAAAAGAAGGTCCGAGAAAACGACAACGAACGATGAGTGCAGAAGGGAAGAAAAAGAAGAAGAGGAAGAAGAAAATAAAGCAAAAGAAGTAGACGAAGAAGAAGAAGAAGAAGAAGAAGAAGAGGAGGAGGAGGAGGAGGAGGAGGAAAAGAGCTTGAAGGAGGAAGAAAAGATTTCGGCGCGCAAACCGCCATCATCCAGCGGATATCGTATTAACGAGGCTCGTTGATGAATCCAGCCTAGATTCACCCTGTCTAATTACATTGTGGACCAAGGGAAACTCGTTCTTCGCGTGCCGACGCGGATAGCGTCGAAATTATGGATCTGCCGGGCGCGAAACCTACGACTGACTGACGCATAAACTGGTTGCGGGTTAAGCGAGTCAACGAGCAAATGAGTCCGAATTACGTGGGCGTGTCAATGCCAGAGAAATGATCTTCTTCCCTGGTCGTGCCGCGATAATTCCCTTTGCTCCGAGGATTATGCAGAACCACTGATTGGCTTCTTACCGATCATCGATTTCGCAGTTAATCCCTCTCCGTTTCTTCTGCCTGTCCGCCTTGATTCTATCATTAAAATGTTTGTGTCGATGGTGGATGTGTACAGAAGAAAGGAATGTATAATAAAACTTGCTGCAAATACGTATACTGATCGCTTTGATACATTCTTGAACTCGTTGAACTTGATGCTCCACCTAGAATTTTTAGAAAATTCTCCCTACTCCATACACACACCTTTGCACATATCCAAAACATTAATTGCATCTGCAAACACGTCACTTTTCTTTTCGCTTAAAACCCAAGGAATCTGCAATTCAACCATATTCCGCTACATTATGTGTACATTCCGTATTTTATATAATCCTTTTCTTTGTGTATTTCAGATGTCAACTAATATTGCTATCGTAAGAAAAGTATAGTATCTTGCAATTTAGTGCTAGACCCTTGTCCTTGAGTGATCAACCAATCCAGATTAACTAAACCATTTTATCGGAAGATGTTATATAATAAATCTACATAATAAATGTAATATCTTGCAATCAGTTGGGCTTGGACCCATGTCCTTAAAAGATCAACCAATCCCGATTAACTAAACCAATGGTTAACTAAATTTGCGACCAATTTGCATCGCGTTTTTCTCGAAACTGGTGGTATGAATAAATCAGACAGAGGAAGGACGAATAAAAAGAGAAATATTTAAAGACGTCGAATGTCGCACGCGAGTCGATGGCACTCGTAATTTCACGGCGAAGAGTCGTGATGGCGTCACGGGGGTGGCGGTGGTCGCGTGACACGATTAATTAACCCCCAAAGGATTGTTTGCTCTTCCTATTGTCGTTCGTTCGATAACGCCTGTATCACCGGCTCGATAATGCCGATTGTAGATCATTTTGTTTTCCCAGTGATGTCATTCCCGTTTCTCGACGAGGCACCCGACGAGGACAATGAGCAAAATTACCGGTACCGGTTGAATATCGGTTGAGTTATTGGTGTATCGGCTATATCGAGAAAATTGGCGGCGGTCATCATCGCCATTATGAATTCTTTATTTGGATGTTGCGGCGCTTGAATTACAGGGCGGTGTTGGGCTACCTTGCTTACTGCTTCATACACGGACTCGTCGATACCAGCGACGGCTACGAACCGACTCTTGCCATTCGAATCAGATTCGCTTTAAGTCGAATCGCGCCGCTGTCATTTCCTTCGAACGTGTCCGTCGAACGTCTACATTAACGTTAGCTGCCGCTGACGCTACTGTGGCGTCATACGATTTCTAGCTTTTTTCTTTTCTACAGACATTCACAAATTTCACAGGAAAAATTCTGTGAAATTAACCGATCGCTATAAGAGTTTCACGTAAATTTATATTTTTGAGAATAGAACGTGTTTTACGTAGTATCACTGAAAGCGTTACACTCCACACATTTCTTATAATTTTTCGTACTAAGCGTCAAATTTCTCATCAACGGATAAAAATCCGCGCTTTATTAATAAACAATTGGCATTTATCAACCACGACAAAACGAACCGGCGGAATGTTTAAATTACGCGCGTTACAAAACGAAATAGGTATCCTGTATTCTTAATAACTCAAAAGTAGAAAGCAGAAGGCAATCAAGTTTTTTCGCGTTTCCCTTCTCCCTTTAGCCTTCCTTCTGCAGCCGATTCTTTTCTCTCTTCCTAGTTTTTGCCGCGTTTTACGTAACCGCATCGCGCGAAAGTCTATCTCGCGGAGAGAGAGAAACATCTCTTCTCTCTCGTGGAGTGGTTGTGCAGTGTGTATCGTCGTTGCACACGCGGTGAGCCAAGCGAAACGTGTAATCAGCGTGTATATGCTCATCGCGTAATCACACCTCTAATAGACATCCCTAGATTCAGCCTCGATTAATCGATCAACGACGCGGCGGTAACGACGCGTGTTTTATATCGAGATAATGACGACAGGCTAATGACGGGCTCATTAACGAGACTCGATATAAAATGGTTCCGTTTAGCATCAGATATTCCGCTAACACAGGAAGTAGGTCGGTAACGCGCGCGGTCGTGTATCTTGTCGTATATCTCTCTTGTGTTTGACCGGACATACACAGAGAGAGAGAGAGAGAGAGAGAGAGAGAGAGAGGAGAGACGAGAAACGGGATGAAGAGAATGAAGAACGAGACAGGAAGAGAGAACCGTTGCCAATGTCTGATTAGCTTTTCTATTTACGAGCCCGCGCGGTTAACGGCGCGACACGCGAAATGCCATTAAAACCACGCCGTGTATTAAAAACTCGATCGTTTGTTCACGGCTGTCAACCGTTTCGTGCACCGTGTGTTCGATAACGTCATGGTATTCACGATCCCATTCGCGTTCCATTATACAACATTCTTTGAATCTATCGCGAGATACGCGCTCGAGTTTCAACGCGAACGAACGAGAATTAACTTGGAATCACTTTGTACTAATATCACGCGATTATCTTCGATCCATCATGAGCGATTACACGACAGTTACGAACGCTTCGATTTCTGAAGATTTCATAAAAATAATCCGTAGTGACGGTGAAAATATCGAGGGAACTTTTGAATTTCTTTTCGTAATTCAACCACATCGCAAAAATACGAGTATTGAAGTTATAATCCAACTGGATATCCTCCTGCTTTCGAATTTTCCGAATCTCTGTGTAAACGGAGTTATAGATAGGTTATGACGAGTACCAGACTCGCTTCAAACGAATTCGGATAGCGAAATGACTTTATCTTAATAAATTATTACCGCTTTTGAGTAAACTCTGCGTGTACAGCTTCAAAAAGATTCTCGGAAGGACTGCTGCTGTATCGTGCTATTTGCGGGCAATAATTCTCATTCTCCTCCTCCCTCCCTCCCTCCCTCCCTCCCTCTCTCTCTCTCTCTCTCTCTCTCTCTCTCTCTCTCTCTCTCTCTCTCTCTCTCGCTCGCTCGCTCCCTTTCTCAAAGGATCGTCTAATCAACACGAAATTTTCCACGACCTATTGCTCATTCATTGTCTCGTTAATTTGAAATTTTCTTTTGTCGCTTCCACAATCAGTGGAAATTTTTCACGCAACGGAGAACGAATCGAAACCAAATCGTCTGCCTCGTTTTGCACGACTTACCCCTTTGGTGTTTGTTACCTCGCTCGGAGCGGTGAACGGATCGATTTAGGGGAGATCGGTAGGAACCAGGAACAGGAACACAATTATCCCTCGCGTTTATTTTAAATGTCTCCATTTATTTCGACTCCGCTATACACGCTATGCTAAGGTTCCGTTCGCACACACATGCACTTTCTTTTGCTTCGCTTTCACACGTCTATCACCTTTCGTAAACCAATCAAGCGCAATACAGATTTACATCTTACGCGATCATAAAGCTCACTAATTAAACTGTTGACCAGGTATATTGCAGTGTCCCATCTATATCGTTTATAAGGTCTCTTTCCGTTTATTTATTTTTATCTATTTATCTCTATGCTTCTGTCCTGTTGTCTCCCTTTCTCCATTTATTCTAATCGTACTCGACGACTCTATCTCATTTATACGTAATATCGAGGGGGATGAACGATATAATATATATATATATATATGTATAACTTATGTACAACGATGAGCGCGCAACACGATTCAACGGCTCTCTTTTATAATTTATACGCTATATATAATTGCTTAATAACTTACATAAATCATCGATGCTTTCTCCGGATCACTTTTGGCTTCTTTTTTAACCACGATTATCCTCTTTCTCTCTTTCTCTCCCTTTCCCGTGTTTCCGCAAATAAATACAATATAATACAGAACGGTCGTAGCAGTCCTAGATACTCGCTAAAGGAAACGTGGAATTCGTTCGACGTTTTGGTCAGGATGCGTAGTTCCCCCCCCCCCCTTTTTTAAATATAATATATAATTACACCTCGTTCTCGAGTTCCTTCTAACGTTTAACGCAAAGGATCAAGAACCCGCGCAAAAAAGCACGACAGTAATAGAGCAATAGTCCGATCGCGATCGCGATCGCAACGTCGAGAACATCGTCAATATGGATCAGGTTCGGCTGTGAATATTTGGCAGTCTTCAATTTACAAAACGTTTTACAGTGATCGATGATATCGTTATCCCCTTGCCGGAAGGATCATCCATTCAGTGTTGCCCCACCTTGACGCGCCAAGATCGTTTTCAACCAACGGCTCACCAACGACGCCTAACTATCCGTCAGACTTTTGCAATTTGACTCTCTCTCTCTCTCTCTCTCTCTGACAGTCTTTGCGTACGGCCTCGACAAAGAAACGTCGCGGACGATCGACACAAGAAACCTCGTGAAAATAGCTCCTTTCATTGTCCGCGATACGTCGTCGAGGAAGATTTCCTTTGTACTATGCCTTGTCTCTCTTCATCCCTATCCCACCGGGATGATGTCGATACACCCAAATCACAACGACCACGGTCCATTTCCTCCCGGTATCATTCCTCGTACTCTCGTGCGTACAAGTACCACGAAGAACGAAACTACGAAAAACAGATCGAGTGGAAAAGAAGGTCTGACTTAGCGTAGCCTCCCACTCGGGTCATCACAGTTCCAACGATCGACAAACTTCGTTCTTCGAAGAATAGCGATCGTTCGACGGACAGCTTCGTACTAAGTCTCTAGAGTACGAGCCAAGAAATCACGGTTTTCCCTCAACGACGAGCATCGAGGTGCCTCGTTTCCTACGATTTCTCGTCCATGCTGCTCGGCAGAGGTCGCTTCTTCAAGATACCAAGATCCTGCACGTTCTCCAAGAACGTCTTGTGGTGTTGAGCGACCAGCAGCGGGTTCACCGTCTGCACGTCCTTCTTCAGCTCCTCCATGTCTCTCTTCAACTTCGCCCGCCTGTTCTGGAACCATGTGATCACTTGCGCGTTGCTCAAGCCCAACTGCGCGGCGATCTCGTCCCTGTCGGCCGGGCTCAAGTACTTCTGGTACAGAAATCGCTTCTCCAGCTCGAAGATCTGTTGATTCGTGAACGCGGTCCGACTCTTGCGCTTCTTCTTCGGTTGCTGCCGATTGTTGAACAGGTTCAGGTGATTCGCTTGCTCTGCAACAGAGATACGATTCGATAGATGGTTAAAGAAACAGAGGTGGGGGATCGAGTGCCTTGTAAATCGGCTCGGTCCTTTCAAAGGGCCCATAAGCATCAAAAACGTCTCGAGGTGTGCGTCAGAGATTTTTGGCTGGACGAAGCGGTACTCTTGTTTTTTTTAAATACACGAGGCACCGTATGGTTTAAATACAGGATGGGCCTAAAGCTTCTTCCCACATATTCTTTTTTTTAAATAAAACATCAAAATATAAGGAAAAATTAATTTTATTAATTTCAAATTAAATTTTTATTTTAGTGGCAAGTGATCTTTGGCCCACTCTGTAAATTTCTTTCGACTCCTTTAGCAAAAAACAAGAAACTAATTCAGTCGAAATTCTGATTTGCAAGATTCACTATTTGTTGAAGTTTTGAATCTTACACACATTGATCTACATCGATTACACAAGATCTGCTTACGTTTCTGAAATTTATAGTTACTGATTGTAAGCTCGCATAAAACGAATATATTACAAATATGCTCACTGGATCGTTATACTTCCCATCCATGAAACCATTTCAATTGATAAAACGAAACTTGACTCGAAATCATGAGTAGATACATATTAGATTTGATCCCATATTTATAAATGGGACAAGTGTTCGACTAATTTGTCGAATTAATAAAATCGATTGATAAGGAGATGGAACGATGATTACGCGTCACGTGATCGTTCCCACGTTTCTTGCAACGGCGGCTCAAGTCGAAGAAATGCGATTACGTGTGCGCGGGGAAATAAGGCATGACCAATTCGATAGGTGGCATGCGTGATCTCTCGTCGGTGATTTTCATCGAATCCGATGTTAATGATTTCTATTTCGTATCGTTAACGGCACATGTGGATAATCATTGAGCGTCGAAGATTCTTTCTCGAGTTAAGAACATCAAATGCGTTTTTCCACGTTGTACGATACATTATGCACACGTAGAATAATTTGTTAATGTTTCTGTTAATATTCTCAAAAATATTAAACAACATTGACACCAGAACCATCGACGACTAAGATAGAAAAATTTGTATCAGAGAAATGAAAATAAGAGAGGAATCGAAAAAGTTTACGATATAACAGAGAGTACAAGCTTTTGTTTGCATCTACATTTAGAGAAAAATCGTTCATGCTTTCGAAAATGCACTGCTGCACGAATCTGTGAAATTTCTATGAAAAAAATTTCACGAATTTTAGTTTCAAATTCCTTTGATAGCTCCAGTGTTGAATTCCGCATTTTTCAGTTCGGTCGTGAATCAAGGAGGAACTGTGAGTTCGAAGCGCCCCAAAGGTCGGGGTCTCGACCATAAATACGCGTTGGAACTCGAGGGTCGCTTCTTTCCATTCAAACTTTCTATCTCCTTTCTAATATCGAAATTTCTTAATCTCCGAACGAGAGGTCTAGAGAAGAAATGCAAAACGAATCGAGTATCCTCGGGCGTGTTTGTGAACGCTCGATCCCTAGAACAGGGTTCCCTTTTCTCGCGCTGCTCCTCCGCTCACAGCTTCCAGCGGCCACAAATCAGATGCATTTTCGTGCGGTGGTAGGGGGATCTCTCCATAAAAATCGTATTACCTATTCGTCACGGTGTTCAGACGACCGAGATTCCAGCGGAGCTACTCGTCCACCGGATGTTGAAATTTTCGTTTGTAGGTACGGCTCGACGAAACAAATCAAAGACTGATGATGCGAGTCGAGATATGCGCGGCTAATACAATAATTCTAATTATAATTAATTTCTCTTTTACCCTTTCCTTTTCTTATCATTCCCCACAATTTTTGATCTCTATGAAATTGTAATTAATTAATAGTTACATTTTCAAATTTGTTGACTTAACTTAAAATAAAGTCAAATAAAATAAATTGTAAACCTTCGTGAGCCACTGTACACTGTACTCGAGCCAGACGTTTTGAACCGAGCTGTACTCACCTAAACGATAAAGTCGTTTGAACAGTTCATCGCGCGCTCGTTTTCAGCGACACGCTGGCAAAGCTTTTTCTATCCATTTCGGCGATCGGCGAAGAAAGGGGCAGACAGGAAGCCGAACAACGCGCGGCGGGAAACAGCGCGGTAAGATTAGCGACGGCCGTTTTCGCGATGGCGTTAGCCATTAGGAAATAATCGAACCGAGTGACGAAAAAGAGAGCCGGCCGATGAGTCGTGGACAAGGTAGCCGCGGAGTCTCTGCGAGGATCAAAGAACACCGCCATCGGTCACACCTGCGCAACCGGACTGTGTACAGTCCCGCTTGAAAACTACCTCGCCGATCAACGATCGGCCTTGCTTCGTAAGCGTTCGTCGCCTCAAGGATGCAGCCTTCGGCCGCTCTTTTCGCTTCGTTTACGACTCTCGACTCGATCGCGATATTCTTCGCGCCCTTAGCTCGTTCGCTCCTTGCTCTCGTTTATTTTCTATAGATAGATCTATAGTCCCTCTCTGACCTTACTTGAGGATCGTATTTGGAAAAATTGCACGTTGCTGTTTTTTTTATTTAAAGTTCTTGATTTAGATAAAGACGTCACGTGATTTTGTAAATTTAGTATAGCACAACAGGTCCAGAGGAGTCCGGTCCGTGTCAGTTTTGAAATATTTTGCACAGAATCGAGAACGAGTCAACTCGAGGTGTAACGACTTTAAGTTCCCGACTGATTCATCGACGTAACAAATCACGCGCGTTAAACAAATAATCAATTGATCAATTGGTAGCGTGTCGAGAATTTTAATCGAACGATTTCTAATCCGCTTGAATCTACAGATCTAGTGTCGGTATTCGAATTAATCACCGAGCGCGAAAGATACGCACGTTTTGCGAAACTTGCAATTCAAATGGGCGAACATATTTTTACTGTCGCCTGAGGAAATCGGTGGTAACGAATACCGCTTAAGAAAGCGGAAACGTCGCGACGATCTCGAAGAAGACACCACTGCGAGGCTGCGTGACTCCGATTCTTTAATTGCAAATTACCGAGTTGATGGGCGGCCCAGCCATCAAGAACTCTCACGGTTCTTCCATCGTCGATCGTGGATCGCGCTGCTGTTGATTCAATCGAGCGTCTCCGTGAGACTTTCGCCGTCATCTGTCAGCCAAGTTATCGACACCGAACGCAACCAAGGTAATATCTATTACCGACGAACATCTAAAACTGCCTTTCGTAACGGTTCCCCTAACCGGAGGATGCGGGTTTACGTGCGAGCTTGCACTTCGTTCGCTTTCCTCGGCTGTTTTTCTTACAGTGCAGTGGACACGTCCAACCACTTTTCTAAACTACACCCGGAAACGACTTAATTACCACCGCTAGGATGGCAGAAAACGTTTAACGTTTACCGAAAGTGTTATTACGTCGGCGTAACGCGTGCAGATTCACCGTTTTAATGCCTCCGGTTATCGAGTATTTTCTTTCTTTTACTCTTTTTTTTTTTTTTATTACTTGAACAACTCTCTTTTCTTATAATCCAGCGGATTGTCTAATTGTAACGCGTCTAACGTTACGAGTGTCAGCGCTAATTGCGTCTCGTACCAGCTCGTTTACCTCGAAAATTACATCGTCTGGCCGCTACTTTATCATCTGACGGCCGTTTAAGGAGAAGCTCTGCCGCAAAAATGCTCCGCATCCATCGTAAAGATTAACGTTTCGCCTCGGTTCACGAGCCGCTTTTTGTCGTTCGGAATCAATCCTCTTTCCTATTTTAATTTCGCTCCGTGTTCACCTGTCTCATAAGTCCAATCGTAAGAAATAGTAGTCTCTCGACCGTGTAACTTTTAACACACGAGTGCTACGCGTGTTTGTATCTATTTACGTTCCCGTCTAATTTATTTCTGGAAATATGTAACTGAAATTGATATGGATATGGATATTTTATCTGACAACTTTATCATTCAAAATTGTATTACCTGCTATGATAAACATTCAGACGGAATAAATATTGAGTAATATTCGAGCATACTCCTATTGCAACATGTAATCTGTAACATTCGGAGATTTTCTGAACTCTGAAAGACTATAATAAAGACGCGTATAAAGGGTCTTAATTCCTCAATAAACGGTATCACGTGTGCAACGAACGCGCACGTTCGGAAGCGCGATCACCGGGGCACGTACCGATACGGCACGTTCTCCCTGTTTTCGAGAAAAGTGAACGATAATTTTGTCGTCGTCCACTTTGTCTCTAACACCGGGGTCCTCGAATCTCTCGTAGCGAAATCCAGAAATACGATGGCGGGTTTGGTGTGGTCGAGGAAAGAGAAGCTGAGGCCAGGCCAGCGAGAGGAATGAAACAGCGGACGCAGAAACGACGAGGAACGCCGAAAGAAACGAGAGAGCTCGCCGAGATATTAGTTTCTGCGGTTGACTCGCCGCGGAGATTTAATTCGTTTGATGTTCACGAATTCGCCGCTTCGGCTGTCCTTTCGCAATCCCTCTCTTTCTCCGTGGCTCGCCGTGTTGCTGCTTGCTCTCCCGCTGCATCATTCCCCATCCACGGTCTCCTGTGTGCGTTTTCTCACCTTTCTTTGTCATTATTCGGTGCTTTACATTTCGCCAGCTAGAGAGCTCTCTCCTCGCTTTTGCATCCCTCTTTTCGGATGCCAAAGCCAGAGTGTGTCTTACGTACACGGGCCCGTCGCGACTTTAGTACGTGCTTGTGCATGTATATACCACTCTCGTCGATAATTCATCCCTTCTTAATCCTTAGTTAATAACGGAAACGAAAGTTTCGGGAATTTTAATTAATTTCGCGAAAGACTCTGTTCTCTCAGAACGCCGCAGTTTGTAATTACATTCCGAACCTTATTAATAGGCTGCGGATTTTTATGCATTTACGGCGAATCTGAATAAGCAACAATAAGGTAGAATACATAGACGCAGCGGTGCAAGAAAATATAAAACATCCAAACTACCGATTCATTTAGTTAATGGTTTAATTGTTAGGAATGTAACAAGCAAGTCTGAAGAAGCTGATAAGAACGAT